TCTTAAGTATACCGCGGGCATTTTTCACCGTTCCATAGCGATTCCTGAAACTTTAGATACTGCAATCGAGGGAAACGTCGGCAATTGCGGAATTGGAATTTCAACGAGGAAGGAGCATTGCTTCGTGCGCGGAACGTAACACGGGGATGCCGTGTAATTGAAAGTGCGATTGAAATATTTTCGCCATAGTTTTTTTATTTTTATTTTTCTCGAATTTTTTGGTATTTATTAGTATTTTATCTTCGGTAGCGAGATTGAAATATTTTTCGGATGGTATTTCACTGATTTTTGTTGGTCGATGTTACTGTGATAGATATGTATGTTATGTAGATATTCTTATTTTTGAGATAATACATCTTTTTCTTTATCTTCTTTCGAATTTATTTTAAATTATTATTCTACTTTTGGTAGTCAGATTGAAATATTTTTGAGATGGTATTCCATTAATTTTTATTGGTCGATATTACTATAGTAGATAAGTATATTATGTAGGTATTCTTATTTTTGAGATAATCTGTCTTTTTCTTTATTTTTTTCCGAATTTCTTTTTAATTATTATTCTATCTTCGGTAGTGAGATTGAAATATTTTTGAAATGGAATGTACCATTGCTTTGTCAATCGATGATACTATAGTAAATATGTGTATTCTCATTTTCGCGATAATTTGTAGTTTTCTTTAATTTTTCCGAATTTTATTTTAATTATTATTGCATCTTCGGTAGGGAGATTTAAATATTTTTGAAATGGAATGTACCATTGCTTTGTCAATCGATGATACTATAGTAAATATGTGTATTCTCATTTTCGCGATAATCTGTAGTTTTCTTTAATTTTTCCGAATTTTATTTTAATTATTATTGCATCTTCGGTAGGGAGATTTAAATATTTTTGAAATGGAATATACCATTGCTTTGTCAATCGATGATACTATAGTAAATATGTGTATTCTCATTTTCGCGATAATTTGTAGTTTTCTTTAATTTTTCCGAATTTTATTTGAATTATTATTGCATCTTCGGTAGTGAGATTGAAATATTTTTGAAATGGAATATACCATTGCTTTGTTCGATGATACTATAGTAGATATGTATACTCTTATATTAGGGATAGTCTGCCATTTTATATTTTACAGGAATTTTAATTCTACTTATTGTTTTACCTTCGCTATGCTATGTATTCTAATCTTCGAGAAAATTGGAATTATAATTTCCGAGATGCATATTTTGAATAGATGTATAGTACACGTATGCAAGTACAGGTATCTAATGGTGCGGTATCGATGGAATCCTAATATTTGCAAACAGTTGTGAGAAATAATTTATTCACTTACGTTAGATTGTAGTTCTATTGGTAGTTTTATTGGAAATTGTTATTGCGAGTAATTTATTAATTTTATCCGCTGCTTGTAATATCAAGGAAGAATACCAAGCTAGCTTGTAAGCGAGATTCCAGGAGTACCACTTCCATTTACGCTGGAATTCCGTTTACATGAATTCGTCGGAGGACAAACAGTTTATGTACCTAGAATTTGCAGATTCTTTCCATTACCTGTGACCTCACTCTCGAATAATGGTAATTAACATTCGCGCGAGTAGATTCAATCTGCAGAAGTTCATTTAACACGTTGATTGCCAATTACGAGTGAACTTCCTGGCTTATCTGGGAATCCCTAGAAATTCCCCAGATCCATTAAACCTCCGACTAAAATTTCTTTAAGATAAATAAAATTCTATCACACTCAACACTTCCTTCGAATCTTAGACCACCTTTCCAAGAGTATACATACACGAAAAATATAATTCTAATCCCTAGAAATTCCCTAGATTAATAAAATTCGTGACAAAAATTTCGTTCCAATAAATAAAATTCTGTCACGTTCAAATTTTCCCTCAAACCTTAGACTCCCTTTCCAAGAGTACACAGATTCCAAAAATATAATTCGAATCCCTAGAAACTCCCTAGATTAATAAAAGTCGTGACTAAAATTTCGTTTCAATAAATAAAATTGATCACATCCAATCCTTTCCTCGAACCTTAGACTCCCTTTACAAGAGTACACAGACACCAAAAATATAATTCGAATCCCTAGAAATTCCCTAGATTAATAAAATCCGCGACAAAAATTTCGTTCCAATAAAAATTCTATCACACGCTTCACTCTTATTCCCCAACAACACGCACATCCACTCACTACTTCTCTTCTAAACCCTCAAAAAAAAAATCAGAGCCCTGAGAAATTCCCTAGATCCTTCGTTAACTCGGTTAACAGTTGCGACGCGTGATCGAGACGGATTGGCGAGAAATAAAAAGTTGGAAGCCGATTCAGTGCACGGGCAGCGGATCGATCGCGGAGTCGCATTGCCATGCGAACGCATGAAATGTTAACTGGGTCTTTAAGCCGCACGCACGGTGCGCGTCTCTCGAGCGAGAAGGTCGCCAGAAGCCCGCTTTAATGGCCACATCACGTATGCACGCGCTGGCTTAAATAAGACGCGTTTTCCACGTGCTCGTGCGTTTCTTACGATCGCAGGCTTAGCCTAAGCGCGCATCCTTGATGGATCTCTGGTCGCCTTGGCCGCCTGTAAACAATGCTGCGCGCGCGATCCACCGACGATTGTTAGTCGACGATCGATCCTCGATGATCGATCGCCCACTTCGCTGAATATCGTAGTAGACTTCGTTTATATTTATTTACGGTCCTCTCATCTTCCTTCCACAACTGCCCAGTCCTCGATTCAGCCTGTCTTAGCCGAGGATCGTATAATACGAAAAATTTTCGAAATGAATTCTCGAAAACGCTTCTAGTAACATGTAATATGCACGAAAAATATTTTCTAGACATTTTAAGCAATAACTAGTATTAAAAATTCTCACAATACTTGCATATCACAAATCTTAATCTTCGAATCCTCCGAAGATCGTATAATACGCGCGAGAAATATTGTTCACAAATTTGCGAAGAAAAATTCGGAAAAACGTTTGAAGAAAAATATTTTCTAGACTTTTTATGCAATAACGAGTTCTAAAAATTCTCACAATATTTGCACATCACAAACCTTAATCATCGAATCTTTCGAAGATCGTATAATACGAGCGAGAAATATTTTCCCGAAATTTTCGTAGAAAAATTCCAAAAAGTCGTCGAATGCTCTTCCCAAGTGTTACCAAAAATTCCAATCATTTCTCGCATGATCTCTCGTTTAGGTGAATGGGTAATCGCCGAGGATCCGAGAGGAAAAATGGCGTATTGATAGTTAAACGAAGAAATTATAATGGGACGAGGCACAGGCAATATTAATCACTCCTACATAATCCAGTGGAGGTTGATGAGGAAAGAAAAGGAAGAAAATCGAATTCGATCGAGGTCGGAAGGTAGCTCGGGATAGCCGCGAGCTGCTAGCCGAGAGAATCGAGCGATTTATCGTCCCGAGCTTTCCGGGCAAAGTATCCCGGCCGACTTCCGGCAGACGTGGGTATCGGTCGATCGACATGACTCTTTCGAGGTGGAATACTCAATTACCCGAGCGGACTTCTAGGTAGCCAGCGGCTCGTGCAGTTCGTGTTCATTTTTCCTCCTCTTTTTCTCCTCTCCCTCTTTTCCTCTCCGCTCTGCTCGCCACCTCTCGCGAGCGAATCACGCTTGCGTGTCGTCCGTTTACCATCGTGACGACCCGCGGACAGGGTGGACGATGACGCCGATTAAAAATTAATTGCCGAGTAATGAATTGCCCGCGAATCACTCCTCCGACGCCATCCAGCCTCCGCCGCGACGAAATGGCGCGATCCAGTGTTCCATTTTTTCCAATCCTTTGCTTTACACACCTCCATCTTCTTTTTTCAGTTATTGGCTCTTTTAATTGCCCACACTGTACATTTTTGTATTACGTGAATAGTTAGAGCTGTGATTCTTACGCGGAGGTCTGTGAAACGTTGTGGGGACCAAAAGGTGCCATTTTGAGAAGCTTCTGAAGATTCGATGAGGTGTTTTAATTTTCTAGAGATTCTGCTCCTTCTGTCTGAGGTTATTGTGAATTTTTGTATTAGACGTGTGTTTCGTTTCAAGAATGGTCATTGTGTGAAGGTTTCTGAACCGTTTTAAGGACGAAAATGTGCCATTTTTGGAAGTTTGTGAATAGTAGGCAATGTGTGTTATTTCCTCAGAGTTTCCGTGTCTTCTATTTATCGTTTCTCTGAATTTCTGTATCATTTGTGTATTTCAAGATCTCTGAGATGTCTTAGATCTGATAATGTGCCACTTTTGGCAGATTCTGACGAATTAGAAGCGAAAGGTGCCATTTTTGGAAGACGACGTGTGTCAGTTTCTCAGAGCTTTCGTTTCTTCTATTTATCATTTCTCCAATTTCCTCTATCATTCGTACATTCGAAATGTGCCACGAAGGTCTTTGACATGTCTTAGAGTCGGTGACGTGCCATTTCTGAAAGATTCTGACGAGTTACAGACGAAAAGGTGCCATTTTTGGAATCTCGTGAATAGTAGAAGACGTGCGTTATCTTCCTAGAGCTTTCGTACCTTCTATTTATCATTTCTCCAATTTCCTCTATCATTCGTACATTCGAAATGTGCCACGAAGGTCTTTGACATGTCTTAGAGTCGGTGACGTGCCATTTCTGAAAGATTCTGACGAGTTACAGACGAAAAGGTGCCATTTTTGGAATCTCGTGAATAGTAGAAGACGTGCGTTATCTTCCTAGAGCTTTCGTACCTTCTATTTATCATTTCTCCAATTTCCTCTATCATTCGTACATTCGAAATGTGCCACGAAGGTCTTTGACATGTCTTAGAGCCAATGATGTGCCATTATATACGCGTTATACGTTTCCGACTCATCGATTATCGTCATTGTACCAAACACAGATAGGCTGATAGGCTTCAGCGACTTCTTCGATGCACGGTAAATCTCAGGAATAATTCTTCGCGCAAAATCGAAGGTGGAATCGTGACACTGAGTAATTCATTCGTTTCTTGCGCTTGTTCCAGGCCCCGACATACCGGGATTTCTTCTGCAGCCATTCAGGAAGCCGAAGAGAATAAGGACGGCCTTCAGCCCCAGTCAGTTGCTGAAGCTGGAGCACGCGTTCGAGAAAAATCACTACGTGGTCGGCGCGGAGAGGAAGCAACTGGCGCAGGCGCTCTCGTTGACGGAAACGCAGGTAACCTATTCGATGAAACCTTCCTCTCAGACATTTCTAGTCTCTTATTACACCAGCAACTCGAACCACTGTCAATACATGCAGGTACACTTAACAGATCTCGAAATTTCCATTAGAATGATGAAATTAAAGATCATCAAAATATCAAAACTCCCAAAATTCTGTCATCACTTCTGTCACCTGTAGAATGATTCATAGTCTCCCTATCGTAATCCATTTCGCAAATCCTGAGATTAAGGAAGATGTATAGTTCGTCCAAGTGGTCAGCTCGCATAAACTGCTCGCGAGACACAAAATGGCGGCGTAGGAAGAGAGATATAGGCGTTTGATGGATTTCGCGCGATTTCACGGAGCGTGGTCCGAGATCTGATCGAGTGTCACAGAATTCAATTTGATCGGCAATTAGTAAGTTAACGACGTAGAAATAGAACACGGGACGATGGGCTGATGAGCATCTCGCCGGCGGAGAACAATTATTTCCGTCAAAACGGTCTGCAAAAATCGCGTTGGCGGGTAGCATCCGTTAGGCACGGCCGAACCGCGCGTCGTGGCTAATTACCCGACAATTAGAACGGTAATTACAACGCGGTCGGATGCAAGGGTGCGAAGCAGTTCAGCCGGCATCAAATTACCTCGTTTAACGAGAACGGCTATTCAATTATCGGGAACGTAGACAAAATTCCGCGGCTATCTCACGCACCGCATCTAAAGCCGCGTTTGTAAGAACAGAGTCCGGCTGATATCCGATTTTCCTCCGATGCATTCCCGCGAAAATTCGATCCCTCGGGATTCCTTCACGCATGTGGCATCGTTCTTCCTCTGATTATATTCCCCGCCGATTAGTCAGATAAGGTGGCAATGGTAAATTAAATGCTAATGAATTAGACATCTGTGCTAATAATCGAGAACAAAAATTTCTAAAATTTTTATAAAATCTTGGATAGAGGTATTTTCCCAACGACTTGGCTTGAAATAAAATTTTGGAGAACGGTGATGTTCGATTTTATTGAATAATTGGATTATATATGTATATAACTTGCACTTATATAATTAAATGCTAATGAATTATACATCTGTGCTAATAATCGAGAACAAAAATTTCTAAAATTTTTATAAAATCTTGGATAGAGGTATTTTCCCAACGACTTGGCTTGAAATAAAATTTTGGAGAACGGTGATGTTCGATTTTATTGAATAATTGGATTATATATGTATATAACTTGCACTTATATAATTAAATGCTAATGAAATGGACATCTGTGCAAATATTAGGGAACAAACATTTCTAAAATTTTTTAAAATGTTGGATAGAGGTATTTTATCGACTTGGCTTGAAATAAAATTTTGGAGAACGGTGATGTTCGATCTTATTGGTTACTTGGATTATACATGTATATAGCTTGTATCTATATATAAAGAAATTCAATTATAGCATTGGGATTTGCTGGGGCTGCAGTAATGCAATTTATAGGTAAATATGAAACGAAATGTGCATTTAAATGTACATAATTTTGTTTGAAAACGCAATTAGTAAATTTGCATAAATGAAGGGATCAGAATCTATTAGGTTGCTATAGCCAATTCAATTTCTAGAGGTTTTTAATTAAATAATTTGATTATATTGACATTTTCGATTAATATCGTGGTGAGCTAGAAAATTTGCATAAATGAAGAGATCAGAACCTATTAAATTGCTATAGTCATTTCAATTTTTAGAGGGTTTTAGAATATTATACACTCTCTTTGGAACTTGCAGTTAACTAACAGAGAAATGGGGACATAATTGTACTATGGTACCAAATAATTGACGAATTTTTCTTCTTCGCTCTATATATTAATTTTGTAACGTAGATGTCGCTGTTTAATACGTGCAACTGTCAATTCTGGTTTTAGATTTGGGTACAATATAATTCGTGACAGTTGCTTGAAATTAACTAACAGAGAAATGGGGACATAATTGTACTATGGTACCAAATAATTGACGAATTTTTCTTCTTCGCTCTATATATTAATTTTGTAACGTAGATGTCGCATGTAACTGTCAGTTTTGGTTTATGATTTAAATATAATTCGTGACAGTTGTTCGAAATTGACTAACAGAGAAATGAAATCAAATAACTGAGGAAATTTTTCGATCTCACAATTAATTTTTTAATATAGATGTCGCTGCTTGATATATAGTATAATAGTGACAGTTTTGGGTCCTGGTGTGCGTAATGTTACGACATAATTCGCGACAGTTGCCAAAAAATATTCAAAACGGGTTGGACTAATCGCCTGTCGGACGATTGAAACTCCATTGCACGTAAGTACCTACATACTTCAGGTACAAAGTCGCACTTAAAACACCCCGAAGAACTGTCCTCGGATTTTTCGCGCAGCCGATTTGGCAGGTGGCAAATTAAACAGCCATTTACGCCCGGTCTATCACGCGAGAATCGCAGCTCTGGCACCAAAATTTCGCCGGTAATATCACAGTAGCCTGCGAGACACGACGTACGGCAACAAGGGTCCATAAATCATAAGGCCCCGTTTGCACCATCTTCGATCCTATCGCGCCACCTAACCTCGCCACTTAAATCAATCTTCAGCTTGCATCCTGCTATACATACTTCCGAAACCGATCTAACACCGCCAGCTTTCCAACGATAGTTTCGCAAATCAGCGCCCATCGCACCCCATAATTCCCCGAGCATCTCTGTGCCTGTCTCGCAGGGCCCTTAAGCCAGTTTCCATGGATGCAGAGGAACAGTGGCCTTTATTCGGTCCCTTAATGGCGCGACGTGCGCGAAAATAGGGACAGGGGAGTAACGAGAGGTTTGATATGCTAATAACCGAACGAGGGGTGGCCACTTTCGGTGGTGCGTGTGGCGTGCGCGCGCGCGCGCGCAACTGCTGCGTGTGGACGCTCCAGATGCATTACGTGCATATATCACAGACGTCGCGTTACGTATTCCATGGGCGTAACGCGGTCCAAAAAAGGGAGAGGGGAAGGCAAGGGGAGAGCAGCGGGGTGGTATTGTGAATTAAGCTGGGAGAATGGAGGAGCGCGGCGCGACGCCATCTTGGTGTCGCGGTGGAAACAGGCTTTCGCTCTTCTGAGTCTCTGTCTTCGTCGCTCGTTTTCGCTTTGGCCGGAAGACACCACTCGGTGAGCAAATTTCGATATCGTTTTTCCGACTACACGCCAACCTTTCCATCCAGACGAAAGCTTCGGAGACGAAAATTGCAGTTTCTATGAAATTCCATTGATTTATTTGGACATGGTTGGCCTTATATTCGAGGTTAAGCGAAATTTCCTTTAATTCTATGTAGGATTGGGATTTGTCACAGGAATTTTTCGAATTTCTCTGCAATTCAATTCGTACATTTTATTTCGAGGTTAGGTCGTTTTTAAAATCTCTTTTTAATTCCTTTTTTAATTCGTAGTGCAGAAATTTTTGGGAAATCAGCATCGAATAAACAAATTTCGTGCGAATGTATTGCTAACGCGAGTTTGGATGGAAATAATAATTTTTTAGAAAATAGTTTCGAATTATTTGACTACGTTATAGGTTAGGTAGAGCTATTTTTAATCTCGTCGAAAATTCGCGATTGGTGCGTTCGGGTATAATACATTTCGCATATCGAGATTAGATCGGATCTATTTTTAATCCGTGCTATGGAAATTTCTGTATGGAAAGTAGACGTTGAAAAATGCACGTTTCGATTCCGTGGATTTCGAATTGAGGTTAGGTTCGCGTAGCGAAGCAGGAAGCTTCGAATTTGAATCTGACGAGTTGCCGCGCTATCGGTGGAATCTTTCTCAGATTAAAAAGTAATGGCGGCGTGGTTTTCGAGCCAGGCGCGAAAGGATGATCGTTGAGGTTATGTTCGGAATGCAATTAACGCGTTGCGGCGCAAGTTCAAGCAGCAGTGACCCTCTAAACACCGCAAAGATGGTTGCGTGTTGGCCGCTTTACATGCCGGTCCTTAACTCGGGCTCGTTAATTAAACTTATTATGCGAACTCGGTATTTATGCGAAGATAAGCAAAGCAAACATTTAAATCAGTTTATTCGCCATTACAGCGGCCAATGAACGAACTCCGCGGCGGCGGGAGATTTTGATAATTACGGGCCAGGCCTCGTAATTTCTTCCGTGGAAATTTATCTCGTTCTCCTGCTTTCGAGATTCGAGAAAGATTTAATGGTAATTAACGCGTGTTTCGCGTAACAATTATTCATGCCTGCGCCATACAGTGTCGAATGTTAATTATCGGTCGTATTTAATTATCTGATTCATCGAGGAGGAAAATAGTCGAGTTGCAGCCGACTGAATGTAAGATTACGAGTAGATACTGCCCAGGTAGACATTAAAATTAATTTACTGTTATTATTCTTCTTTAAAATCGCGAAATATTTCATTTATTATTCTATTAATCCGATTTTTGCCTAAATATATTCGTTAAATATACCGACGATATTTAAATAAAAATAGGTATTAATTGTGCCAAAAATAGTCAAAGGAATGTAAAATTCCGAGTAGATACTGACCAGGTAGAAATTAAAATTTAATTCACTGATATTATTCTTCCTTAAAATCGGGAAATATCTAATTTATTATTTTATTAATCCGATTTTTGCCTAAATATTTAAATAAAAATCGGTAATTAATTTTGCCAAAGGCAGTCGAATATTTCGAATAATTGGAGAAAAGAAAACTCTTAAAACGAGCCATTTTGACTTCGATAGAGCTAGTTAAGCCGTTAAGTCTTCTCTAAAATCGGGAAATATTTAATTTATTATTTTATTATTATAATTCGACCTCTGTCTAAATATATTCGCCGATACCGATGATATTTACACGAAAATCGACAATTTCGAATAATTATAGCAACGAAAACTCCGAAGACAGCCATTTCGAGTTTGACAGCGCTGGTTAAGTTAAGTCCAGCGAAGTCTACTGGTAGTTCCCGCGAAAACTAAGTATCCTTCATTAAGGAGAATTTAAAAATGTGTG